AATTTTAAGGAATATCGGGTATTAGTAACTTAAACTGAAGAGTGTTTTGTTTTTAGAACTTTTTTTAAGAAAGGCGTGGTGTACAGGTTGGAGTAGAGAGCGTAGGTTGTGAGTGAGGCAGCAGCAGAGCACGGTGTAATGGGAGCGTTGACCCTAAAGAGGGGTTCTGATTGTGGGGTTCTGTGAGCGCCAAGGGTAGCCTTTATGGAAAATAGGAACCTGGAAAATTGCCGTGTGTCCCCAAAGGTAATGTTATACAGTGGGTTTCTTTTTACCGGCTTGTTTAAAATTACCTTCCAGGAGCAAATGACGGAAGGCTAGTATTCATCCCCCAGGTTTTCTGTGATAGTGCAAAGTGAAGTTCTCTCACCCGCCTAGCCCGCAGGGGGCTCGCGGGCTTTGTGTCCAGTGCGCTCCGGCCTGTGGTGCTTTGGTAGCAATAGAGTGTGTGAAAGTGGATGGAGACACTGACCTGTGACGAGGTGTCAGAGCTGGGGGTACAGGGAAACATTTAAGTTCTTCAGGAAGTCACGAATGTTGCACATGAAGCAGGTGCCTCGTATCACCTGTGTATTTTGTGGACATCGACAAGCACCGCTCTCATGGTTCCCTTCCCGTTCCTTTCTGTATGTGCAGCGCTTCACATGTTCTGTAGGCTCATTTTTTGATTTATGAGACATAAATATCTAGTGATTAAAAAGTCCTTTTCTTACCAAGCCTCCTTCTCAGGTGCTCAGAACTCAGACCTTGACTCATTTTCAGTTGTATGATGGAAATAGTTTTTCTCCCATTAATTGTGTATAAATTTAACGTTTGCCATGCTTATCTCAAATCTGCCCACCACAAGTTATGTTCCTGAAAGGCGGATCTGCAGATCATACTGTTTTGTAATAATGTGACTTAGGTAGGTGCTTTAACGTTTTCCATTCACTCACTGATGCGTTTAGAAAATACTTACGAAGCACTTCCAGTGTTCCAGGCGTGATGCTAAGCTAAGGATATAAAGATGAAAGCAGAAATGGCCCGTACCTGTAAGGGGCTTATGACACAGGAAGAGACGGAGGTGCCAGCCAGACAACGTAACATGCGAGTGTGTTCAGGGGAAACAAACCGGAGGTAGTTTAATGTGGGGAGTAGTCACCTAAGGCTTCAGAGATGCACTTGAGAGATGAGTGGGTGGGCTGCTTCTGCAAAGACATCTTCCATGTTCTTTTTCTGCCAGTTCCATGTGTTTTAAAAAATACTTTGCCAGCTTATGTAGAATCTTGAAAAATCATCATTCTTCTGGCAGAAACATGTTTGCTGTGTTTCTTTTTAAGAAAAATAAAAACACATACATGGAAAATGTGTTAATCAAAGGACAGTGTGACCATAAAAAAGAAGTAAATAGTGAGAAGGTATTTTAAAGATGTTACAAAAATCGGTTGTTTGTGTTTGTATCATTTGATTCTGGCTTCTTAAGGTATATGCAAATATTGGAAATAGTGCTACTTTTTTATTACCTGGCACCAGACTTCCTGAAATAAATGTGTTATATCATCTGAAAAGCATCTCAGCATTGATTAAGTTGAGGTCCTAACAGAGTCTTATCAATGCACTTGTTACATTTCAGTGTTTGCCATGGAGAAAATGAATGAATCGACGGCGGTATGTTTATGACGCTTAAGGCAGCTAAAATAAAGTTGTACACACCTTTTAAGGAATAGATGTAATAAAACCGTGAAATAAGGTTATATAAAAGGAGGAAAGCGAGGAGTTAATGCAAATGGGCTTTCGGGTTGTTGCTCACCCCTGGCGAGATCACGTGAATGGAACGGGGCCACGTGGGTTGAGTGTGGTTTATTCTCCAGATCCTGTCGTGTTTTGGGTGGTGAATTCACTGGTGCTTGTAGCATTGTAGTAATTAATCAAAGCAGGCCCTCCATGTGCAGATGGATGACAAGGGTGTTCGTTGCTGTGGTTAATCCAGGTCTCTGAATTTGGAGGTCAGTGAGGAGGAGAAATGTGAAGAGAGCTCTTCTGCATCCCCGTGGTGCGGAGACCTGATTTATAGGCTCCTCGTTCTGGAAGACGAGCAGGCGCAGCTGCGGTGACGTCAGCTCCTAATATTAAAAGTGTTTTTGAGGGTTTTGAGAACAGGAACAAGGAACTTTAAATGAACATTAGATTTTGCTGCATAATAACTTCCAGAGCTCACAGAGCCAGGCAGATTGAAGGAATTGTTGGCAAACCAGCTTCAGTCTAGACTGGAGTCAGAGAAGTGTGGTCTCCTGAGGCCTCAGCAGCTCAGCGGTGACGGCTTTGTGAGGTGGTGGTTCTCTTCTGGAGGTCGCAGTTTGTGGCGCTGCTTGGTGGTTTAGCCCTGACGCTTGGGAAGACGTTTCTATCAAAGTTTGCCCTTCCAGGTAGGGCCACGTCCTAGCAGCCTGTTACCTCCCACGCCTCCCCCAGTGCTGCTTCTCCCCGCCTTTTACTTTTTCTTTTTTTAATTTTCCTTTTTATTGTGGTAAAATACACTTTGCATTTTTAGCTGTTGTTAAGTGTGCGGCACTGTGTGTGTGACTATTAGCATCTTCCAGCTCCTGGACCTCTTGCCTCCTCTTTCCCTTCCTAGTGGAACCCGTGGGCGTGCTGTGGTCTTGCTGTGATTTGTGTGGCTAAAGAGAATTGATTTAATAGTAATATTTCAGCAGATGTCTCTTAAATGCCTACTCTGTGCCAGAAGTTGGAATTGCAGAAATGAATAAGCTGGTGTTTTCCCTTCATAGTTCAGTGGGCGTTTGGTTACTCTGTTTCCAGTGGCACTGATGTTATTTGTAAATACCTTTTTTGATAAGTCCTCAAACTTCTTATGAAGAAATCTAGGGGGAACGTAGCGTGGAGGTAGGTTTGCAGACAAACTCTGATAATTTATGTTTGCAATTTCTCAGAGGCTTTGATGTTTATACTTGTTTCCCAGGACGTGTCGTGCTTCTCTTGCTTTCAAAAGAATAAAGATAAAGCAAATGAACCCATAGTTTGTTTACTGGCTTTGGTTTGGTGACCAGTTGAATGAAGAGGGCCCCAAAAAGTTAAACTAGGAAAGATGAAAGATGCATGGTCATTTCTGAAGTTCTGTTTTGAGACTCGTAATACAGGTGACCCGTAAACGATGTGCGGATTTGGGGCCCCCACCCTCTCTGTGTGGTCGAAAACCCAAATAGAACTTTTCGGTCGGCCCTCCGTATCCACAGGTCCATATCCCCAGATCCAGCCAACGCGGGTGCTGTAGTTCCGGGGTGCTTGCTGTTGGAAAAAGCCACATACGAGTGGACTTGTGCGCTTCAGACTGGGTTGCTCAAGGGCCGGCTGTGCTAAGCTGGGCGTTCGGCCTTGTTTCTCTTCGCTGTTGCTGTGAGTTTTTCAGCTAATGTGAACTTTAAGGGTATGCCTCTAGACAGGAAGGAGTCGTTCTGAACACCAGGTAGGCTGGGGGCAGGAGCGTGAAAGCCTTGGGGCTCTTTGGTGCAGCTCTTCCAAAGCTTGCTGGTCAGAAATTTCTGAGGGGATGAATGGGAGCGGTTTGCAGATGGAGCTTAACTATGTAGTTGGCCCAGTTTCCTCTTCCGCTCTAGGGCGATCATTGATCTTAGTTCTGGGGTGGAGCGGTGACCTTGACCAGCTGGAGCTAGGTTTTCATGGGGTTTACAGTGGTGTGCATTAAAATAGTAGCATCTGATGTGGACGCCAGGGGATTCCCTACAAAACTTTGGAGACGTGATCGTTTTTCAGCCATGCTTGGTTAAGAAATGGAATTCGTGCATTTTTCTTCATTTAGCCTCAGCAACTTGAGTTTAACGGGACAAGGTGTGGCCGGGGTCCTGAGTGAAGTGCTCATGTTGTCTGGCACTGGAGGTGGTGGCCGTTCCCGTGGGCCTCACTCTAGGAAAGCCTCTGTCCTTCCCGCCGCACCGAGTGGCGCCGGGAGTGGTCACAGGAGCCTTGAGGAGAGGGTGGAGGCTCCTTGAGCTTCCGGGGACTCATTGGAGCCGTCAGCCCTGTACCGTGGGCTCTGCTTCCCTCCGCCCTGCTTCTGTGCCGCCTTGGGGCCTTTCATTAGAAATCAGAACTGAGCTTGTAGGCAGTCTGGGGGTTCAAACGTTAAGGAAGGGAAGAAACTACAAGAAGTGGCCGAAGCTTCGTGGGGCCGACTTCCAGGCCGAGAGCTGCTCTGTTCAAAACCAGAACAGCTGTTCTGAGGGAGTGAGGTGACACCGCCTTTCGCCCAGTCCCCCTCTGCCCTGGTCTGGGCTGTAACGGGGGCCTGGTCCTCAGCTTCTGCAGCAGATACGGCATTAACAGTAGATTGTTGATTATCTCTTTGTAATCAGCGTCATTAGGTTACACATTTCTGCTTGTTGGGATCAAGGAAGCGTATTAATAAGATCTAGCCCTCAACTCTCCTGCCAGCAATCATAATTTATGAAAATATGCCATCTGTGTGATCATTCCTTTTTCTTCCTATTTGTAGGCATATATTTAAATTTTTTGTTATTAAAGGGCAGTCAAAAAAGTTAATTAACAGTACTAAATCAGCCTGGTAATTGGTGTTTTTGTCAGGCATCTCCTTTTTGCTGTTGACAAAAAAGAGACCTTTTAAAAAATCGGGTGTGTGTAATAATAATGCCCTGAGTCCAGAACTTCTATCTTACCTCATTCTGTACCATCGAGCGGAACGGTCTCACTCATGAGTTACTTGGCCACATGATTTATATACAGGAAAATTCATTCAAGAGGTGTATTTTTACAGTAATACACCGGTGTAGCTCTGTGTACTAGAAAGGACGCTGACGGTGATATCAGGTGTCTTGGCTTCTGTCACTGAATGCTCCTGGACCAGGTGATCTCTTCAGAAACCGCTTACCTCTAAAATTCCGTGATGCTGCATTATTTTAACATGGAAAGGTTGGAAATTTACTACATTTTTGCATTCTTTAAACCCTCCCCACTCTGCCTCTCAGCGTTAAACCGAGAAGATGTCGCTGTACGATGACTTGGGAGTGGAGACCAGTGACTCAAAAACAGAAGGCTGGTCCAAAAACTTCAAACTCCTCCAGTCTCAGCTGCAGGTGAAGAAGGCGGCGCTCACCCAGGCCAAGGTACGATGAGTGCCCGTGTGGAGCAGGCGCCTCCCCGGGCTGGAGCGGAGTTGGGTCTAGCCCACTCCCCTGCCTCTTTCTTGGACGGGTGGGGTTAAACATTTCTGGGCGGAGAGGCTGGGGTCCCGGAGGGAGACTGCTTCCTTCTCCCAGCTCCTGGGACTGGGCCTGTTGCCGTGGTCGGGCGGTGATGCTGGCCTTCAAACTCCAGGGTGCCTAAGGCTGAGAGCGTGGTTAACACGCCATGTAATACCTGGTGTTCTGGGAAATTCTGTTTCTGGGTTGGGGCCTGGGGAGCCTGCATTCTTAGGGAGCAGTCCTGCTGTTTGCTGTTGGTGGTCTGGAAGCCCCGCTGTGAGGCAGAAGCTCCGTGGTGGTTCCTGAGCTGTCCTCACAGCGCAGGTTACGCAGGCTTGGAGGGGCTGAGACTGGGTCAGGGCGTGTGGGCTGGGCTGGTGGTCTTTGTTCCTGCTGTATCATGTTGGGTACAGGCAGCATCCTTGACCTCATTCACTGTGTAAAGCATTAAAAATACTGTTGTCCCCTGGGTGTTTGATATTAAAATATTACTGTCCAGTCTTCAGGGATGAGAATGATGCTGTGGCTTGCTGATTGCTTCAGAGCACGTGTCCCTGCTGGAGGCTGTATCCCCCTAAATGGGGCAAGTACTGCTTCTAAGCGGTGAAAAAAACTCTTGCACTTCTGATGTATAAAGCACAGGTATACATAAAGTGCATCAACAGTTACAGAGTGAACATTGGTATTAAAATTTCACAGGTAGAGAAAAAATGTAAAAGGTTCCTCGAAGGAGGAAGTAATAATGAAAAAAAGTTGAGAAGAACTGCTTTAGAGATATATATTGAAATATTTACTGATAAAATGATAGAATTTCGGGGATTTACCTTAAAATACTCCAGGCTGGGGCAGGGGGGTTAGGGATGGGCATGAAACAGAATTTGCTGAGAGTCCGTGGTTATTGGAGCTGAGTTACTGCGGCTTAAGAATTAATTGAGGATTCTCCTTAATGTAATGTTGAAAATTTCCATAATAAATGTTTTCTTAAAGTTGGAATGTTTTCTTTCCCTTCACTCCTTACAACATAAATACTGGAGTGTTTACCTTTGATTTCTCAGTACTGTAGAAGGTTCTTAGGGTCAGGATGCCCCCAGGTAGAGCAACACTGCTCTAAAGTTTAAATTTGTCTTGTCAGTTCTGTTGATTAGGGTTTTTGTCTTTTTCATCTATCATTACCAGATTTGAATTTTTTTATGTCAATACTGTTTCTTTTTAAAGAGAGAATTTTGTCTTTTTAAAACAAACTTTCATCCTACATGAAAGGAAGATTAACAAAACCCCTTTTTTTGTTTGTTTTAATTTTGTTAAGTTGGTTTAATTTTTTAAGTCTTTCGTAGGTTTCATGTAACTTTTGCTTTGCACATAAGATATATAAATAAGGCTTTATTTTCTAATGCTGACACCACTTCATGTATTTCATCCTTGAAGGCCTCATCTTCTCTTGTAAAATAACTAGCTCCTGGGAACAGTTCTCATACTTACTAATATAAGCTCAGTTAGACTGTGAGTGGACGTAACTAGTGGGCAGCCTTTGTTCAAAGGAAGATAAAACAGGAAAGCGGAAGGGAGAACACAGAGGAGATACACAGCTTGGCTGTCCTGCACCGCAAGCGTGTGCCCAGGGCATGGAGCCAAACCGCTCCCTGTGAAGGACCCCCACAAGTCAGCGTGTGACGTGCTGTCACCGACTGGCTCTCCTGGGGTCAGAGTGAAGATCTGGTGCTTTTTTCATGTTATTTCACGTGCATGTTTAAATAAAAGTGACCAAGCTTTCTGTAAACCTTTTACAGAAATGGAAGAAATTTGTTTTGTAAAAACAAAAAGGCTGAGGAAACTAGTATATGATTATTGTAATAAGTGAATTAAAAAGCTGTTGTTGTAAGATGATTTTTCTCATATCTGAAAGGTTTATTATAGAAATCCCCCCAGAAGCTTTGTTACAAACAGTATGAGTTTTAATTTGAAGCCCCAGTATAGCTTTGTTGTTTTTCGATGATTTTAGAGTCAGAGGACAAAGCAGAGTACAGTTCTTGCCCCCGTAATTGACCTGAAGCGGGGCGGCTCTTCAGATGAGCGACAGATCGTGGACACCCCGCCGCACGTGGCCGCTGGCCTCAAGGTACGTGCGCCGCCCCCCCCCCCCCGCCCCCGACCTGGGTGGGATCTGTGGCTTCCCCCAGGTCGTGCTTTACACCTGTCACTCCCAACACTTCTCCTCAGTGGGCCTTTGCAATCTAGTCAGTATCATTTTCAATTTAAGTTTTACTTTTATTTTACCAAATTTAAAACATTTATCTGTTTAAAGTAAAATGGTTAATTATAGAAAAATCAGGAGCTGGAGATACGCAAAAAGAAAAACAAACGACTTCAATCCTACCCTCCAGAACTTGAAGACTTTCTGTCCTGGAGTGCCTTTCTGTCCGTTGGCTCCTCTGCCTCTCTTCCCTGACCTGCTTTTCTAAGTATGTGTGACTGTCCGTCTGTGTCAGGAAGTGTAGGACCACGTGCCCATCGGGACGGCTTCGCTGTGCCCGCTGTAGGTGTGCTCGCTTTAGTTCGCGTAATGCTGAATCTGTGTGGTTCCTCGTTTCTAGCTATCCTAAGGAATTTTAGTGCTTATTGGTTTTATTGTGGATTAGAGTAGAGAAAGGGGTTTTGAAAAACAACAGCAATAATTCTGCCCCTCTGGCCTCTTTTATCCCAGTGATTGTACAAAAGCTTGAAAACAACAGACAGACGCGGTCAGCTCTGTCAGTGGTTAGTGAGGGTTAGGAGGATCCGGACAAGGGTAGCTCACAATCGTGGTTAAAAGTATCCAAACGAGGCAGAAAGGAATTTAATATGAACTGTAGGTAAGGTCGCACCCACTCTTCAGGCACATCTCCGCGTCCCTGGGACACTCACGTCACAGGCAGAATAGTAACTTAACACACAGCACCACGCGCACGAACTGCTTGGTGAGAAATGACCGGAAGGTTAGTGATGGGTAGCATGCGCTGGTGCTCCTCCTCCTTAGCAAGGCACTCCCCCTCCCCGGCCCCACCCCCAGGCAGACGGAGACCCCCCCCCCCCCAGCTGCGAGCCCCTCCCTCCTCATTTAGGGGCTCTGTCCTCACGCCCTGGCTGCTCTAGTTGGAATCTGCCTGCTCGCCCACCAGGCCCCACCAGGCGTTGGCTCTGAGGCAGGCTGGGCGCAGCTGAAGCTCTTGGTGGGGTTTCTTGGCCTGAGGCGCTGGTGCTGCTCCTGCAGCTGGTTGTCCCGAGGAGAAGTTTTTTGAGGATTCTTAGTCATTTAACATTTCCCCCCTGCAAATTCTCTGCCTAATTTCTTCTTGCTCCATCTAATCAGAAACTGGTTAATCGTCTTCTGTTGCTGTGTGTTGACTCTCGAACCTATAATATTGCCCCCCACATTTAATCAGTAAGCATTTTTCTTCTTGTTACGAAGCCAGTTTTTAATTGTAAAGTCCTCCCATCAGGTGAGCGTGTGGTGATTTGCACAAGTATTTCCTCACTGGAGCCAGTGACACTCAACAGCACCTCTACAGGGAGCTTCCTCTGCGTTTAGTTGTTTTCTTAGGACAGGTTTCCCGAGGTGGCACTAGAAGGGTCACTCACTTCTGCGACCAGTTTGTTCTGGTGCTGGCCTGCTTCTGGCCAAGCTGTGTCAGGGAGCAGTTTCCCCTGCAGCGTGGGAGCCTTTGGGTTTTCCCGCCCTCCCCAGCACTGGGGATTAATGTTCAGTCTAATAAAGTGAAGCAGACTGCTTTATTCTCCATAGCATGTGGAAGAGGATGCTTCATTGTTGAACTCAGCAGGGTTTAATACAGTGAAAGTTGTTTGTTAGATTCTGAAATGATAGAGTGTTAACCTCCATGCTGCTGGGGTGTTCTCTGATTTAGAACCTTTGTGATGGCAGTGTTCTGTAAATTGTATAGAAGAGAAACACAGAATGTTGTCATCTTATCCTGACTTAGTGGACCTTAAAAAAATGAATGATGATGTGGGGGAAATTACATTCCCCTGCGCCAGACTCGGCATCTGATATGCAGCCTGCCTGGGAGGAGCGTGTATTCCAGAGGACCCAGAGGGTTTCACAGGGCCCAGGAGGATGCTTTTTGCCTTTTTTCTCTTTTTTTTTTAAAGTCTTAATATGTCACGTCTACATGTAATCAGAACCTAAAGTTACTCTGTTAAATGATCATGAGAATGACTGAGGTATTCATGAGTTTTTTGATAAGTTTTCATAGATATGTGTAAAAACATTCAGTGTTTACTATAAACAATCAAATTTACTGCTTAAAATTTTAGGTGGTGACAGCTTGTTTAGGAATTCCAGGAAAATGCTATAGGGTGTTAATGGGATTAATACAGAACTAAGAGGTGGAATTCTTGGTCCTGTTCTGCTGCTCCCGGGGTAGGCATGTGGCCACGTCAAGTCACTGCACCTCCCCGGGCATCGTTCCCGCACCTGTGAAACAGGAGCAGACAGGTGGTCTTCAGGGCCCTGCTAACCCTCATATTCGTTGACCTTAATTCTGTGAATAAAATTCTAAGACAGAAGATGACACTTACTTTGGCGTTCTTTTCCCTCCTCAGGACCCGGTTCCCAGTGGGTTTTCTGCAGGAGAAGTTTTGATTCCCTTAGCCGATGAGTATGATCCCATGTTCCCTAATGATTATGAGAAAGTAGTGAAGCGCCAAAGAGAGGAGCGACAGAGACAGCGGGAGCTGGAGAGACAGAAGGAAATAGAAGAGAGAGAGAAGTAAGCCTCGTTTGGGCGTGGGGATGTTTTGTGTTGGGAGGATTCAGTCGCTGTGAATGAATGAGCTTTTGCGCTGTCTGGAAGGCTGAGTGAATTTGGTGGCTAATCTGAGCTGTCATCAGGAGTCAGATGTGCAGCCGTGACATCCCGCCACCAACACAGGCTCGAGAGCGCGCTTCACGTGTAGATGAAGAAAATCTAGCATGTACATTTTTGGTGAGTTCTTGGAAAAGTAACTTAGAAACTGATATTGAATAATAGGGCTTTTTCCCTATGCTATGACTATTAGAATCATAACTATTTAAAATACTTAAGCCAGGAGAAAGAAAAATGCCATATAATATTGCTTATATGTGGAATCTAAAAGAAACCCCACGCAAATGTACTTACCTATAAAACAGAAACAGACTCACAGCATAGAGGACAAACATGGCTACCATGGTAAAGAGGGTGGGAAGGGATAAATTGGGAATTGGAAAATTGCGCCTCTTGGGGAGTGATGGAAAGGTTAGCTGTCCTGATTGTTATAGTGGTTTCATCGGTGTGTACATCTATCAAAATTCATCAAACTACATTTGAAATATGTGTAGTTTACCATACAGGAACCATACCACAATGAAGGTGTTAAAAAAAAGCTACCCCCCAAAAAGGAAAAATAGGTTAAAAATTTTTTTAAATAAATACTTGAAACGTTATTCGTAACTCTTACTGCTTTTGTGCCAGAGAGAGTTTTAAAAAATTCATATACATCCTTCATGTTCTTTGAAAGTACGAGTCACAAGGATTTATACAAATAAATTTGTATTTCTTCTTTTAAAAATACTGAATGGGGGAGGGTATAGCTCAAGTGGTAGAGCACATGCTTAGCATACACGGGGTCCTGGGCTCAATCCCCAGTACCTCCTCCAAAATTAAATAAACCTAATACCCCCCACACTCCCCCCAAAATATTGAATACTAATTACTAGTTATATAAAATACTAATACATTGTCCCTCATTATTTATTGAATCATTTCATGAAATGAAATCATGTTCTAGGGAATTAAAATTACCTAATTAACTATTACCTATGTTGACTTGCTTTAAAATTGAAAGGTAAATATCAAGGAAACCTTTTTCTTGCTATTTATATTCATATATTCATTATATTAATATGTGCAAATTCATATTAAATTTGTTCAGTGTATCTTGCGGGTTTTTCTCACTTCTCATACTTCTGCTACTTCAGTCTTTAACCGTTGTTTGCACGGGGCACCCCCCCACCCCCGCAAAAATAGAAACCGGGTCAAGGTGACGACCCTGGGTTGGTCTGTGATGAGCTTTGTTTTCTCGGTTGTCACAGGAGGCGTAAGGACAGGCATGAAGCTAGCGGGTTTTCAAGGCGCCCAGACCCAGACTCTGATGAAGATGAAGATTACGAGCGAGAGAGGAGGAAGAGAAGTAAGGCGTGGACGTGGACACTGTCTCAGACCCGGGCTGGGTCTGCCCTTTACTGTCCTGCTCGTTTTGATCAGCAGTTCCGTTGCCATTGATTTCGGTAGTTTTTTCTCTGGAATCCCAGCCCCCTGTGTTTGCATAACGGTTTTAATTTACATTAGGTTTTCACATATATTCTCCTTTGGGTTTCCCAACCACTTTCTAACATTTCCTTGTTGGACACTTTGAGCACCTTAAAATAGACACGCAGGCTTGTCTTTACCCGCAGCCCAGTCGCTTCCACCTGTTCTCTGAACCCAGCTGCGTTTCTGTGAAGAACGTCTCTGCACCGAGAGTCCGGGTGCTTGTTTCCCGTTAACCTCAATGCTTGTGCACTGGCCTTCGGGGAACTTCTTCTGTGGAACAGTTCATGCTGGTGCAGCGGGGTTTTGTAATTGGTTTCTTAATTTACATTTTATTGTTTTTGGATTGTTTTGTTGGCGATTAGGTTATAATACATATGTTAGGGCTTTTACTTAGTGAAAAATTCCCTCTGTGCTCTGCTCCGGCTTTCCCTGGCTGTCAGGGAGCAGATGGAGTCTCTGCTCTGGCTCGTCTGTGTCCACCATTCTGTGTCTTGGAAACGCTAAACGGGTGGTGTTAACACAGAACGTTTCTAAACAGACCTTCAGTTCCAGCGGTGCGCAGCCTGGAAAGGAGCGTGCTGTGCCGCAGGGCGCTTCGGTGCCGCGGGGAGCTGGGTTTGCTGGGTCCCTGCCTGCCGGCTCTCCTCTGTTGGCTTCTCAGCTGGAAAGTGGAAGCGGTCCTACCTGCGGCTGCATTTTTAATCCTGGGTTCAGATGCTGAACTCTCCGATGTCAGCGGCGGGGTGGGGTAGCAGAAGTCTTTCCTTTTTTCTTTCTCTGGGGGCTGGTGCGACGTCACAGTCCTTGAGAGTCTGGAGCTTGAGCCTGTTGCCTCCTTTAATCATGGGATTTATTTTCACAGGTATGGGCGGAGCTGCCATCGCACCTCCCACCTCTCTCGTAGAGAAAGACAAAGAGCGTACGTACCTGTTTCTTCCCCTCGCGTTCAGAGACACAGCCTTAGCCCAGTCAAGGGACCCTCTGGAACCTCTGACCACGCCTTGTGCTTCACAAGTTTTTATGCCAGGCTCTGAGGCATGGGTTTTTCTACAGTGCAGTGCTTCTTTTGTTTGTTTTTTAACATAACTTATTTCATTTTCTCCAACATTTCGTATTTGGAGTTGGGTTAAAACAAACAATAGCTTGGTTTACTATTTTTGTGCTCAGCGGTCTAGAGGCTGTTAGGTCCGTGACCGTCCACAAGGTGGCAGCACCTCCCCGGGTTAGATGTGTTTCAGGGCACAGTGTGCATTTGAGGTTGCCCCATGGGTCTTCTCCCGTGATCCCTTCCGGAGTCTGGGGGTTGGGATTGGACGTTGATAAATCATCTGGCTCGTTTTCCTGCCCGCGGGGTTCAGCCATCCCTGAACTGCCCCAGGAAATGTGCATTTTACCTGTTGCCCTGTGTGTTGTCCTTTTAGAAAGAAGATGAATCAGAAACTCCGGGAGGGATATAAGAGGGGTGGGGCAGCTCAGGGACGCAGCGCGTGCTTAGCATGCGCAGGGGCCTGGATTCAACCCCAGCACCTCCTCTAAAAAGTACTAATAAATAAAGAGCTAACATTTAAAACCCGTTGGTCAGTGTCCTCTGCGTGAAAATACCTGGCAGACCCGATCCCCGCAGTCCCAGGGGCGGGGCCCCGTTTGGGTCTTCTTCAGCCTCCCTTGCTGGCTCTGGTGTGTAGCGAGGGTTACAGATCGCTGAGCTGGCGTGTGGCCCCTCAGAGACCCTTACGGTCTGCTAGGCTAATGGGGTCCTGAGATTAGCATCTTAAGACAAGTGCACAGACTGCTGCGGGCGTCAGAAGGGGTGGATGGGATCTGCTGGGGTACACAGAAAATCTGAGTGCAGCTCAGAACTTGCTTGTAGCGTTGTGCTGACCTGTTCTGTTCCATCCCGCAGTGCCCCGAGACTTCCCTTACGAAGAGGACTCCAGACCTCGCTCGCAGTCCTCCAAAGCTGCCATCCCTCCCCCCGTGTACGAGGAGCAGGACAGACCCAGGTCCCCGACTGGCCCCGGCAACTCCTTCCTCGCCAACATGGGGTAATTAACGGTCCAGGTGCTCTCACCTCGGCAGGTTCAGGAAGGACGGAGCCCCGGGTGAGGCGCTGTCAGCCCCCTGAGGCGACGCGCTGTGTCTGACAGTGCGTGCAGGTCAGGTTTGTGCCCCGCACACACAGCCTCCCTGAGGGCCAGGGCTTGAGGCGCAGGGAGCGACCCCAGCATGACACTGCTACGCTTCATGCAAGACGTAAGGCCTCGTGATGGGCGTTTTGAGCGATGTAAGTGCTGACGTTGTGTTCTCCAGGTAGGAACAGCTTTTGATAATCATTTATATTTGTTTTCACAACGTGTGCGGATAAAATAGCTCCTGTGAAGTAGAGCTGATTTGCTCTGTGGTCAAAGGGTGGAAGACGTCTTGCTCCCCTTGATAAAATGGCCTTTGCTTTAAGGTCATAGTTCTGTACCTCTAGTCTAAAAACTCAGTCATTTTAACTAATTAGACATTTGTCTGCTGGCAGATGAAAATCAGTTTTAAGGTTGACTTTCATTTGGGGCTTGTAATTTTTTTAGGCCTCACTGGATTTGGCCTGCGTTTTGGTTGTAAGAGGGCTTTATGTTGTTACTCTGACCCTCTCGGGCTGCGAGGGGCCGTCCGGTGAAGCAGTGCTGTGTTGAGGCCTCCGTCCTGTGTCCTCCAGGGGGACTTAGAAGGACGCTGCCGGCGGGGGAGCTGCTGTGACCTGGCAGTCACGCGGGCCTGCCCTCCCCGCAGTCAGGCGTCGGTCCCTCGCGCCCTCGGCGAGGTCGGGTTGGAGGAGGGACCGCAGGACCGTTTGAGTTTCTCGCCTTCTCAGGAGCCGTTGTCTAGGCCTGCGCTGGTCTCCAGTCGCTGCTGGCTGCATGTGGCTGTTAAGTTAACTGAAAATGAATACAATTTAACATGCATTTCCTCAGTCACACTAGTCTCATCTCACATGCTCAGTAACCTCACAAGGCTAATAGCTGCTGTCCCGGACAGTGCGGGACAGTGCGGGCAGGGACAGTTTCCCTCGGCGTGGAGAGGTCTGCAGGCTGCCCCAGGGTGTGTGCTGGAGGGCACACAGACGTGAAGCCGTTGGTGTTTTGTTTTTGTCTTTTTCTGCTAATGAAAAACTGACTTTTTTCTGAATCCCCTTTTAAATAGAAGTTAAATCTTTTTTATGCCTAAGGAAGATGCATTTGTAGTACAGCTCATTAGTTTTCAGTCTTTTCTTTTTATCCCTAGAGCAGCTTCTTCAAAAGAAGTTTTTAAGGAAATAACAAACGTGAAGCCGTGTAGGAGCAGTTCTGGCTGAAGCAGGGTTTGTGGTCTGGGCGCTGAGGCGCAGTGGTCGCTGGGGGGCAGCCTTGAGGCCAGGGGGGCTGCTCGCCGGGCCGTCTGGAAGCTGTGGGGGTTAGAGGAGGAGCTCCTCCGCTCACAGGCGCAGGAGGAATTCTCCTTGGTGCTTAAGCCCGTCGGCCAATCTGGGCCTCAGTTTCTTAATCTCCATCTGTTAAGTGCATGGTCTGTAAGCGTCCTTTCATTTATGAAGCCAGTCGTTGGAAACTCTGCCGTCCTATTTAGGAAAATGCAGTTATCTTCATTATATGAAACCATACTTGTTTCCTCACAGGCTCAGTTTTCAGTAGACTAGTCATGAGCGCCGCCCCCGAGCAGACACTGGCGCCCGTGGGAAGCCTGGTGTCTCCTGAGAGGCCCTCGGGAGCCGCGGCGCGGTGGCTGGTGCCCCCGTCCTCAGAGAGTCCCGGGATGCCGGGGTTTCAGCATTCCCTTCTGTCTTCCTCCCGAACCTCCCACAATGTCCGTCTCATTATATGTGGCCTCATTGGAGCCCTTGTGGAATTTACACTCTCTCTTTCCAGAAGGAGAGTGTTGTGATGTGAAACCCAGTTTGTGCTCTAGCCAGCGACCTGAGGTGCAAGGCTCTGTCTCCTTCCCCCCGCAGCGGCACAGTGGCGCATAAAATCATGCAGAAGTACGGCTTCCGGGAAGGCCAGGGCCTCGGGAAGCACGAGCAGGGCCTGAGCACTGCGCTGTCGGTGGAGAAGACCAGCAAGCGGGGAGGCAAGATCATCGTGGGTGACGCCACTGAGAAAGGTGGGCCCCCTGGGGGTTCCCAGGCGGGAGCCGGGTGTGGAGGCCGTCCTGGGTGAGAGGACTCCTGACCACGAGCGTTCCAGCTCAGGGTGGTGGGCACCGGGGACCCTGAGGCTCATCTTCATAAATAGCTCAGATGAAGAGACAGGGAGATGAAGAGAGGCCCCGGGGAGAGAAGGATGACAAGAGACTCAGTAGAAATGAACAGCAGTCGGGGAGACACCCTCACACCTGCTGCTTCTAGGCCAGGAGCCTGGTACATGGATGAGTCGTGGTTATGTCTTCAGAGCAGAAAAGGAAGGGCCGTGGGCAGTGCGTCAGCGACTGTCCGCTGCGTCTCCGTCCTGCAGTGGTTCTCTGCTGTTTTTCAGCCCTTTCATTCTAAGTGTGATTTCTGATTTTCCCACTGATCGATTAGTCTGTGATACTAATGTCACTTTGCAGTCTGTTGGTAGGTGATGCCTGCTTGGTGATTTTTTTTCATTTGATGGTTACAGTCTGTTCTGTGCTGAGGGCATATTGGAATGAGTCAAACGTGACTTGACGTTTTAAGCAGCAGAACTGAGTTCGCGCTGAGTCAGCTTGGCTGAAGGCCTTTCCCTGAAGGAGGAGGAAGACTGTCCAGGCAGCCACGTGCACGCACAATTAGGAGGCAGCAGTGAGCCTCGCAGACTGGCACCCAAAACCAGCAGCTGCCCTGGTCTGTGGGAGCCTCTGAAATTGGTCAGCGGTGGCTGCCGGGTTAACTGCTTGTTACCCCGGACTAGTGACCTTCGGCCACTGCCCGAGCCAGGACTCACTTCTGAGGGTTGTGGTCCGTATGCTCTGTCAGCTCCTTAGGAAGTGAACTAAGCAAATTGCAGGTAATTGGGGATGTTAAAAACGCCTAGAAATTACGGTAAACATCTATACCAAAACAAAGTGATGCTTTCATCCAGATAAGGCTGCGCTTTTGCTCAGAGGCATGTCGGTGCTTGTAGATGACCCGAGGACGTGCGTGGCGGGGACTGCTGCTGAAATCGAATTACTCATTGTAACTTGGGCTCCGTGCTCTGGCACACCTGTGTCTGACAATGTTTTCTTGTCTCAACAGATGCAGCCAAGAAGTCGGATTCAAATCCATTAACTGAAATACTCAAGTGTCCTACTAAAGTGGTCCTTCTGAGGGTGAGAAGCAGGGGCAGAGACCTGTTTGCCTCGCTTGGATTGTGTGTCACCTGCCCTGACCTGCCCCGCACGTCTTAGCCCCACCGATGACAGAACAGTTACAGGAAACTGGAGATGGGAGTGTAGGGTAGACTCCATTGAAGACTGATTTTTTACAGGCCTCTTTCACTCATGTTTCTTTGCTAAACACGATATTTAGGACTACAGTGAGAAATCACTTTAAAATACTTGAAATTGTTAGAAATTCAGCGTGGTTTATACATTTTGATGCTTGCATAGTTGCTCTTGTAATGCTTTACAAAGCTTACAGTGCATTTTTGTTTATTTTTAAGAAATAGCAAGTTTGGGGTCCTGCGGGGATGAAAATTCTGTTTGTGTTGTTTGGGATTGAGAACACTTGCTACCACGAGAGAGAGTTATTTGTGCATCTCTTCTGTTGTGCATTGGCAAATCGCGCTTGATACTGTGTTTCTGTTTCTAGAACATGGTTGGCGCAGGAGAGGTAGATGAAGACTTGGAAGTTGAAACCAAGGAAGAGTGTGAGAAATACGGCAAAGTTGGAAAATGCGTGATATTTGAAGTAAGAGGGGCTTCTTTTGATGTTTATAACCCAAGTGACGATGGATGGTGTACAGAGCGTTTCCTCCGGACAGAGGCAGTGTGCTGCAGGTAGCATCTTGTCCGACTGCAGAAGGTGACAGACGCTTGTCCTCAGTGACAGCAATTTCAGACATAAAGTCGAGCAGGGCCTGACGTTTTACTTGGCGAGGAGGCGTTTTATCTTGTGACTGAGGTGTAGACTCGGTGGCAGTGTGCTCAGTACTGCAGTGCCGTGGCTGTGCCTTTGGTTTCACTCATTTGGCAGGTGTTCACTGAGAGCCTCCCACGTACCCGGGACCAAATCGAGAGCATTTGGGACCCAGGAAGCGTGTTGTGTGCTCGTGGTGACACGCTCAGTTGAAGAAACAACAAAGCAAACACGTGGACATAGAGCATATCTGGTTGTTAGACTCAGCAGCGTTGACTGTCGTGCAGGAGGCGAGAAAGGCCTAGGGCAGCACGAGACAGAGAAGCTCTGTGAACAGCGTCGGATGCGAGTGGGGCTGTGGAGTGCGGGGGTGGGACCTGGGCGGGAGGGGGCAGGTTTTCAGAGCGGGGTCCCTGCTTCCGGGAGACTGAGGAGGGTGCTGGTGGCCCGGTTGGGCGCGGTGGGCGTACGGGCGCTCCCGCGGCTGCGGGGGGCTAGGACAGCGCGGCTGAGGACGTCAGCTCCACCCGAGGGACGGAGGGCAGCCCTTCCATCTCCGCTTCTCCTCTCACTTCAGCTTCTCCTCTGTTTTATGGTGCAGTTTGTTGACCGCATAATGATTTATTTACCTGTCAGATGGCACCCGACCTCCAGAGTTCAGAGACGCTCTGCTTAGGTGTGTGTTCCCCGCACTTAACGTGGGGCCTGTCACAAGCAGGCGTTCAACAGATGTTGGTGACAAACAAATCATGCTTATTTCCTTGGTATTTGACCACTCCCTATGTGCGTATGAGGATAATTGGAATACTGACTCTGACGGAAACCACCTGTGGAGGAAAAGTCACATCCTGCGACCGCTCAGGCGATGACGCCACCTGTTACGCTTTCACTTCTTTTCCAGATTCCTGGTGCCCCTGATGATGAAGCAGTACGAATATTTTTAGAATTTGAAAGGGTTGAATCAGCAATTAAAGGTATGTTGAATTTAAAAGTTGAATTTATGATCTTCATCTTTAAAATGTGTTCTTGTGATGCCTTACAGAATACCCGTCTTAACTGTCCTTTTGTTTGCCTTTTAGCTGTTGTTGATCTGAATGGGAGGTATTTTGGTGGACGGGTGGTCAAAGCGTGTTTCTACAATTTGGATAAATTCAGGGTCTTGGATTTGGCGGAACAAGTTTGACTTTAAGAACCAGAGCCCAAGTAACCTCCAGCAGTCCTTCGGTGACTTGCAGGCGGAGCAGAGAAGAGCAAGAGGACAGCCGGCCTGCACGGCTGTGGGGCGCAGAGACTCTGGGAAGAAGGACTTCTGAGATGTGTGCTGATTGGTCCCTTTTTTATTTTGTGGTTTTTTTTTAAATATAGTATAAAAATCCTTCAAAACAAAACAAAACAAAACAAAAAAACAATCTGTGTGCCTCTCTGGTTGTTCTCATTTTTACGGCCACTCCTGAGGTGATTACATTTTGCTAGGATTTCATGATCATTCTCAAGTGCTTCAGTGATACAGCATTTCTTGCACTAAAAAATCTAGAAAGTTTTGGGGTATGGGGTTGTGTTACCCTTTAGTTTTCCTTTTTTTTTTGAGTCATTTTAATAAAACCTGCAAGTTACTGAACTGTAGCTTCATAAATTCTATAATAAAGTATCATCTTGGCGGTCTGCCAAAGGTGAAAATGTCTGCTTTCTCTAACAGAGAAATTCTTCTTATTGACTCCAGTCACAGAAAAAGCTCTTCGCGACCTGAACCAAGGTCCAAGAACTGTAAACCTACCGTGACCAGTTTGGACGGATCATTTTCAGTTAGGCTAAGTCGGACTGTAGAATTTGTGGTGAATTTTGGGGTATTCGGATATAGAAATCATGAATATAGCGTTTGTTTTCAGAGATTCAAGGCTTGTCATTAGCATAGGTCAGAAATGACAGGTTAACTCAGAACCTTGCGGGTACATCATAAGTGTGCGCCCAATTGTGTTTTGGAAATGGTGGGGTTTTTTTGGGGTCACATTTCTATTGGCAAAATTTGCAGTAGTGTTAGTTCTCATACATAAGTTTAAACTTTATAAAATTCAGCCACATCAGCTACTTTAAACTGTGCTGCCACTTAACAGAGTTCTGGAATTGTGAAACATCACATCGTTGAAGTGCAGTGAGATGTGTGGCTTAAACATTCAGCAGGGCCACAGAACAGAAACATAAAAATGCTCTGCGCTAACGTTTGTTGTCAGAGCAGGAGGTGTCTCCAGAATACGCCTGTGCCTGTGTTCTGTCCCTTGCTTGCCTGAATGCTGCATGTGACTTACCTGAAGTGGCACCTGCGGGACATGCGCCCGCGTTGTCTCTTTGGGTCCTTATGACTTTTTTAAAAGCGTGTTGTGACCCTCCACGGGGAGAAAGCTCTCGGCATTTCTTTGCACCCATGGACTTGGTTTGGAGACATAAGGAATATTCTGACCCTTTTTAAAAAAGGATTTTCTCATGTTTTTATTTAACATAAATAAAAGAATAACATTTTCTCTTCTGTGGTATTATTTTACTGAGTAAAATTGAATCACGACTCTGCATTTGTGATAAAAGTGCGTATGTTCTGTAAAATAAGTGTGGGTTAAAGAACATTAGGTTAAAGAATCAGATAATTGAACATTTCGTGGGACGTGAGAATCAACAGTCGGCCTGAAACATAAGCAGGTGGACTTAGCTCCTGAGCACCAGTGAGAGCGCCGCGTCGGGCTTCAGGTGCCTGAGTGTTCACGTGACGGCGCGGTTCAGTTCGCACGCGCCCCGGTGCCCTGCAGTGTGCGGTCCAGCTGCCCTGGTGCCTCTCGCACTCTTGTTATGCTTCAGAGCTTCATCGTTCATTTGCGTGTGGTGGCTTTTCTCACCATTCTCATGATCGACAGCCAGAGAAGTGCAGGTGACTGCCCTAGCGAGGGCACGACCGAGAGCGCCTCTCTCCCCAGTCCCTCTAATTAGCACTTACAGTTGTCCAAGGCTGCTGCAGGCACTTGGTGCGTTGTTTGCCGTGAGTTTCCAGCATGGGAACAATTTTAAATCTGCAATGTCGTGCTTGAAAAACCTGAAATTAATTTTCAGTGTTAACTAAAATTCAAATTAACTTCAATATAAATTGAAAATTAATTAAGCTATAATATAGCCAGAAAGGTTCGGTATAATAGACATCTGGCCCACCTGAGATCTGAAAGCCCTTCCCGTGTTGGAGGGTCTCCAGTGTTCACCTGCCTCCCGACAGCCGTCCTCACACTGGTGACAATGGGCCCCACGCTGTCCAGCCTTGGGGGGGGTGCGTGTGTGTGGTGGGGCCACTCGTCAGGCATGGCGGTCTTGGGAGCAGTTTCTGGGTGTGATTTGGGAATGTCTTTATAGAACGCCTCCACGCAGGACTGGGGACTGTCTGGAGATTCTGTTTGCTACCTGGAGTTTTGGTTTTTTTGTTTTGTTTTTCTTTTTGTTTTTTTAGTAAATTCCTTTTCTGCTTAAAGAAGCCAGAGAGTTCTCATTTGCAGCCAAGAAGTGGTAAGCACGTTGGTGTCTGGAATTGCAGGTGACAAATCCTAATGGAGGAAGGAGGGCCCAGCCTCCCAGGTTCACTGGTGAAAAACTGATGAACCTTGTTATTTGGTGGCAAAACATTTTGCCAAACTGTTACTGTACCTTAGGGTCCAGACCAGAATGGTGCTGAGGGGCGGGTCGGGGAGTCTGCAGGGTCACTTCTCAGGCAGCTGTGGTGGTGTTGCCGGGCTGCGTGGGTTCAAACCCCAGTTCTGCTTACTCGCTGTGTGACCAGGTGCCTCCACTGAAGACGGACGTGATAGTCACACCTACTTCCTAGGCTCGTCAGGAGGAGGACACATATGCGGGAAGCAGTGTCACAGGGCACGGAACACACGCAGGCTGCGAGGTCCTGCAGAAAAGCCATCATGTCCCACTAACGGGAGCTGATTCAGAAGCAGAGCAGAGAAGGAAGCATGGCCTCGCCGAGGGAAGCTTTCTGTGCCCAGCTTGCGGTCTGAGTCAACTGAGAGTTGCACAATGAGTTCTACTGGTTTGGGAAAACCTACTGTAACGGACTTGCCCACGGGGCCTGGCAGCAGCCTCAGCAGTGTGGACTGGAGGCTGTGGCCTTGCAAAACGGGATGAAAGGTGTTGCTTTCCCACGCCAAGTGATGGTTTGAAGTGCCCCAGGATGGTAGCTGCAGAGGTACAGGAGGGACTGGACCACCTGGGGACCAGCTGCCGCAGGACAGCGCTCAGACCAGAGGCGGCCAGGTAAGGTCAGATGCGCGGGGCTCCGTGGTGTGCTGGGTCCCGGCCGGCCCCGCGTGGCCCGGTGCTCACCTGAGCTCCTCTCCTTAGGCCTCTGTTTTAAAGGCTGGAGCCAGGGGCGGCCATGCAACACGACTGGCCAACGAGCTGTAAGTGGCAGCTGAGGTGGTTTCAGAGGTGCTTCTCACATTCCTAGGGAGGCCATCGTGCCAAGCCTGCTGGGGACGGGAGCCCCGGTCCCGCGCCGTGGGCTGCGGCCGAGCGGGAGGAGCCCTGTGAGCCACAGGACCGTGCTTTCGGTTGCCTGAAGGCGGCTTCTCCGCTTCCTGACGCAGTCTGTCTGCTTCCCCAAATGTGTGTGATACGTTCACAAGCTGGGGGCGAATTATTTTGCAGATAATTTTTAAAACTCACCTGTTAGTATAAAACCTCGCAGACTGTTATTTTCTCTTACTCTGCCTTTCCTCTAAGTCACCCAAACTGAAGGAGAGTTCAGCGCTTCGTTTTGTTCCAACAAGCACTTCTCTGTGAATTGCCATGTATATACATAGGTGGTGTTTTTGACACTGGGAATGAAAAAATGACAAGGTAGTCATCTTTGCTTTCAAAGAGTTCATAGTTTTTATTTCAGAGAGAGACAGAAGCAAAAACAACGCAAGGTGAAACGTGCTAACATAGGGCATGTCCCCTGACTGAGCTCCGTGGGCATAATGACATCTTTAGTCCCAGCCTTGACATGTATCTCGTACGCAGTAAGTTGGCAGTAAATCTGCTGACTGTGTGCAAAGTACTGAGGTCACGGGTGACTGAGCAGATTTGTTAGGTGTGGCAGAGTCAGGTGGCAGTGAACAAGGGGCCGTGTGTGCTGGGTCTTGGAGGAGGAGGAGGCACGGCCTCTGGAGAGGGGGGCCTTCCTGACGGGACTGCAAGGAAGGGCAGTGGAGCGCGGCTGCCCCGCGGCCTTCTGGCCTTGGCCTGGTTCCGCTTTGATCCCCAGCTCTATTAGTTTTTAAAATGAACTGTTAACTTGAGATTGACAGGTTGCTGTGACCATTGCACAGAATGCCCTTACGTTGTCCCAGCTTCTTATCTTACCATTAGTATGGTACATTGTTACAATTAATGACCCATGTTGTCACGTCACCACATACTCCAGGACGTGTATTATTATTAAGATATTTTGTACTTTATTCAGATTTCTCTAGTTTTTAGCTGAAGTCCTTTTTCTGTTCTAGGACCCCATTCAGGAGACGGAACGACATTTAGTCTTCTTAGGTTCCTTTTGGTTGTGACTGTTTCTCGGACTTGCCTTGTTTTTTGATGACCTTGACAGCCCTGAGCACTGGAAAAGTATTTTGTGAAATCCCCCTCAGCTGGGACTGGTCTGGTGTTCTTCTCGAGGGTAGCCTAGGGTCGTGTTTTAGGGAGAGGAGGGTGGCAGAGGTGAAGTGCGTTCCGATCACGTCGAATCAGGGTGCACGCCGCTGATGCCGGCCTTGGTCAGCTGGCTGAGGTCGTGCTCGTAGGTCTCCGCTCTTTGGAAGAAAGTCGCTGTGCCCAGCCCCCACTCCGGGAGCAGGAGGTCTGTTCCACTTCCCAGGGCGCAGTAGCTACATAAATTATTTGAATTCTGCGTGGAAGATTGATCTGTTCTTCCCCCATTTGATTACTTATTCAGCCATTTACGCCAGCATGAGCACATGGTGTTTATGTTACACTTTGGGGTATAATCCAGTATTTAAGTTGCTCAAATTGTTCCATCATTGGCTACTAGAAACTTCTGCAGTGGTTGCCTGTGTCCCTTTGGCCTTCGACATCACATTGCTGCGTGGGTCTGTTTTTTAGGAGAGAGGAGCCACAGAATGCTCCAGGCTCACCTTGTCTGTTTCCTGCGCCAGTCCTGGGGTCAGCCATTTCTCCAGGGAGCCATGGTTCCTTTTGCTGGGGAGTGGTGTTAGGAGCCAAGGCCTGGCCACTAGGTGAGCTCATTGCTGTGGGGGTGTCATTGTGTCTAGTCCCTCTCAGCTAACAGAGCAAGGAAGACGTGTGTGTAGACGTGTAACTGCCTGAATCTGTGTTAAGGGAACATGAGTTCATACCGGTGTCTCCATCTCTGATCCACACGAGTCATGCTAGCCTCCTCCCCTTGCTTACCTGTAACTTCCCGCTGCCGTGGGGAGAAGTCTGGCCCCACCTTCAGCCACCGTTCCTGACGTTCAGTCCCAGCGCACCTTCTGAACTGCCAGTCCCTACCCTGTGTGGGAAGCGACTCTGTCAGCTAGAGGGCAGCGCTTTGTGGACAGTTTGTCACGCCGTTGGTCCTGCGGGCTCCACTCACTTCCGGTTACTTAGCTCACGCTGTATTCCCTCACCCCAGCCTTCAGGAGTGTGTTTCATATGTCTGCAGTAAATTTAGATTTATCTGCCACATTCTGCGTTTCGTCCTGGGATTCCCCCAACCTCCCATATGAGTTTTAAAGAATTTATTTACATTAAGGCTTACTCCTTGGGCTGTAAAGTTTTATGGGTTTTGGCAAATGCTTAATGTTTTGCAGTCACCATTACACTGTCGTACTGGATGGTTTCACTGCCCTAAGTAACATGCCCTGTGCTGCATGTGTTCAGATCTCCCCCTCCCCGTGCCCGGAAGCTGCCACTCTGGTCGCTGTCTCCACAGTTTTGCCTTTTCCAGGTCATGTACTGAAATCACACAGTCTGCAGGCTGCTCAGACTGCCTGGCCTTTAGTTTCTGCTGTGGCTCCTTCACTCAGCCCTGTGCTCCTTAGAGTCATCCGAATCTTCTTGCGGCTGGATAGCTTTTTCATTGGCGACTAATATTCTGTTATCTGGATGTACCAGTTTATTTATCCATTCCCTACTGAGGGACGTCTCGGCGGCTTCCAGGTTTGGCGATCACGGACAAAGCTGCTGTGAACATCTGTGTGCAGGGGTTTTGTGAATCAAGTTTGCTCTTTAGCTGGGTGAATGTGCAGGAGTGCGAACATTGCACTGCATGGAGGCCTGTTTAGTTTTGCATCTCCTGTGCTTTCAAGCTCCCCGTGCTGACTACTTTTCTGAAGCATGTAAGCATTCTCAAACCTCTCCCTTATTCAGGGGAGAAAAGTCAAACCCTTGAGTTTTAACTCACCCCGCCTCCTCCTCCTCCTCGTGGCCAGGCTCCTCGGAGACTCACCTCCGCTCTGCTGAACACCCCCTCGGTTCAGCCCACACTT